AACGCCGTGACTAGCTTGAAGGAGATATTCTTTCAGCTCAACTGTCATGCAAAATCACCTTATTTTAAGCATTTTGCAGCAACAAACAGTGTGGGCGGTCAGGAAGTACATGGCTTCATCAAGAACCAGCGAACAACACGCTTAGAGTAGCAAATGAAACCCAACTAACCATAACATACCTTCCTTAATTATGTCGCTTTTCTTGTCCCCACTTTCTGATACCGAAGTTAAAAGTTTTACAACTCCATAAACCTCTCACCCTGCGACCATTCTGAAAGATCCGAAACAACATTCTTAGTGTCAAAACTACTCTGTCAATCTCTCATTGGAGCTTTCAACATCTAAAAGCTATGCCAAATCGGATAACAGGTGTTTCTTGGAAAAACTTAGGAATCCTGAAACATGCAATGCTGTTTTATGAAAAGTGCAAGCAATATCCAACTGCGACCATTCACTTCACCTGGCCAATATGGTGAACCTGTTCAGTTTACTTTGTGAATATCCAGGGAATTGGCAGTTAGCTCCTACGGACTCGCTGGTGTGATATAGCATCGAGTTTTAGAGTGAAAGAGCGGTTTTCGAATGGATATATGTTGACAACCGACCATGCACTATTCGACTCAAACGATTTGCAGGAATCCGAAAAAGCAGTGACACTCGCCTATTCGGAGTCTCCACTCAGGCAACCAAGGACTGCAGTTCGAATGATACAAATGATGATTTCCACCAAAAGCTATCAATTCCAATGCCTTCGGGTACAGATATAGCAGCGGGTGACTTCAATGATCAGCATTACTTTCAGGTGTAGGAAGAGACAGCTTCAGTTGGCGTTTTTAGCCATCTAAACAACGGTCGAAACATAATATTGCCAAGTTATTGTTGGAGAGGATCCGTATAAAATTGTCTCTTTATGAAGCACCTGTTTGGACTCCGATCAGATATTATTAAGTTCGAGTATGTTTGCGCCTAATGAACGCAGGAAACACAGTAGTTAAATCTCTAGGGATGCCACTGGGTGGGGGGGGGGGGGGGAAGTCAAGTGTGCATCTAGAGAGAGGGAACCTATGCATTTATCCGATAATAGCAGCCATTCTGTTCCTCATAAAGCGTGGCGTAATACGTAATTTAATGTAGAAACAATGGCAAAAACGGTGCGATCTATAATAAAAGCTTAACAATAATCAATGGGTTCCTGCAGACTTATAGGAAATGACTGGTGTTAGAGTGGGGTAGCGACAGGATGAAGAAGGCATCAACACTAAAGAAACACAAAGTCAACGTAAAACTTTGCACACAAATGCATCGGTTCAAGCAGCCACAATTGGCAGTAGCATACAAAGAACTTATATCAAAATTAACAAAGGTATATAGGAGGAGAAGGAATTTAAAAGCAGTGAAATCAATCAAACTGAAGATTTCGAAGAGTGAATACATCTTCGTCGCTGTGACGGATTTTCAGCCATGCCACCGAAAACCCTCGACAACTGATTGATTTGTCTCGAGAATCCCAGGCAGTCTGCATCTCCCAACATCGCTCAGACCAACCAACAGTCAAGGACTTCATTGACTGGTGCCACATCTTGGTCTGGCCACCCTGAACCCTAGTCCAACTTCCCCTAGGATCGCATGTTGAGGTGGACGATAGCTGGCCATGCGCAACACATGTCCAAGCCCCCTCAGCCGACTTGCCTAATACTCTACCCTTCACCTGATCTTAACATCGCTCACATGGTGATTTCACCAAACGCGAGCAATGCTATGAAGACACCTATGATCAAATCTCTGTAACTGCTGTATGTCTTCTACTTTCAACGGCCATTTCTCCCAAGCATACAACGGGACAGAACTCATTCAGTGATAAATAGTCCTATACCTCGCCAGTCGGAGCCACAGATAACGCAAGTTGGTAAATGCTAAACGGGTCTTCTGTATCCGAGTTGTGATTATGTCAGCAACCAACTTATTCGGGTTGATGCAACTCTCCAAGTAAGTGAAATGCGTAGATCTTGAGTGTATTTACTCTTCGTAAAACTGGGGGTATTTTCAGACCAGTGATGTAGTATCATATATTTAACAGGTAAGAAATGCATGCCAAACTTAGATTTCTGCTCAAAAGACATTGCATTTAGTCAACGTCTTCACCCAGGAGGACAATATCATCTGTATAATCCAGATTAGCTACATGCCCTCCACAGAATAGACCAATCCTTGAGAAGTCACGCGTACCTAAGGTTATATCTACTAATGCATTCATAACGAAATCAAACAGGAATGCTGGCAGCAAGTATCCCTGGGAGACACTAGTAGTTGTCATCAATTCAAATGAGGACTTTGCTACATGGCCTTATTTGACTCCATGAGTTTGACTATAGAGCCCTGATTAGGGCTGCATACTTGCTCAGTACTCGATTCAGTCAGACACTGCCACAACACCTCACGACTAACTGAGTCGAATTCCGCCTTCAGGTCAATAACTATGGCAGGTGTCGGCCGCCAGGACCTGTCGAGGCGTGGAGATATGATCGATGCACTGTCGTCCAGGTCTGGAACCTGCCTCGTTTTTTCGAGTTTCCTGCTCTCGAGCTTGAGTTAGGCGTCGTAAGACTACGAACCTAGGGATCTTGGACAAAATATGTCAAACTAATCCCCCTACAGTTGTCAGAGGAAGACTTCTCTCTCTTCTCATAGACTGGGATGATCAGAGAGGTAGACCAGTCTGACGGCACTACCTACGATTCTTATGATCTACCTAGTACCTCCATCACTCTGATCAGCGATTTCCTACCTCCATCCTTGAAAACGTCTGGTAGCAAACTGTCAGGTCCTGCTGCTTTGCATCATTTCAGGTTCGGAACAACCTCGAATGGGAGATTATCAGGGTGCCATCCTTTTCGGTGATGGTTTCTCTCACCATTGTCTTTTCCTAGTCAGGATTTTTGATAAGCCTAAGTAGTTCCCAGGTGCTACCCAACACCGATGCCTTCTCCATCTCCTTCGCATTCGTCACTCACCACTGCTCGCGATCGAACAGAAGGCTCTTGGTCAACTTACCTTTAAGCTACTTTCGCTCTTCATTGTGGTCACGGCCAGCTGGAATCAGTCTTCTCGCACCAACCAGTTCAGATGATGTCACGGAAATCCAATGACGTTTGGAAACCTTCGGATGTAGGTTACAAACTGTCTTTACCGCCGTTTCTACAGCAGACTTAATACCACACCAGGTTTTCTCATGACGAACATTGCTGTCACGTTCAGACAAACGCCTCACTAACTCCTCCCTTAATGGGTACTGGGTATTTTCATCTTCCAATCGAGAACAAACAGGCTTAACTGCCGCCTGTTTCCTGAGGCCAGTAAGGCGCAGACGTACACTTGCTCTTACTAACGTATGATCGTAGTCTATTCCGGTACACTGAAAATATCAGCAACCTTACACCGATCCTCTCCAACGATGGTTTATAGAAATGTGATGTCTGTCTTTATCGTTGTTTTGAAGTCAGCGGACACCATATAAGACAGTGCCTCTCCTTATGTTCAAAGTCATTACTGGCCAGAAACAAGTGATTTTCGAAACCAAATTGCAAGAAACGATCACTGTTATCGGTTCTTTGGCTTGGGATTCCATAAATACACATAAGATTGGCTCAACTCACCCGCTCGAGCGTTAAAGTCAGTTAGCATTATGACCATATGTGAACCTTTCGCCTTCTATAGCAAAATTGATAACGTACGATGGAATTCATCCTCCGGATTTCAGTCGGTGTGCGCGTAAGCGGAGATTAGGAATAAGCGTCGGTTAGTCTCATGATCCTTTCTAGTCCTTACGGATCCATTCAGTCGAACAACACAGACAGCTGTTGACTGGCATCCAGTCAAGCAGCGCAATGTCTGTCCTACAACTCAATGAGAGGAGTGTGCTACTTCCGAGGAAAATCTCTTCTAATCTTCCCCCCCTTCTCACTGGGAAGGTATCATCAGCATGGTACTGCTGATCATCCACGGGAAACATCTTACTGCTGTTACACCTCATCCAAGCAGGAGTTCGACTTTGCCATCGGATCCCCATCATACCGTAGCAATTTACACTATGACGGTAACTGTTTTTCTTCTTATCACTATCCCGCAGACCTTTCTGGCATGGTGGAACCTAGAGGGAATAAGCGCTCCAGCAGGTGTAGCCCGTTTGGTCATTATGACATCCAAGCTCGACTGCTACGTCACGGTAGGAGCTATCGATCAGTTATCAGAACTAAGTAATGCTCGAGAGTTATTAAAACTCACCAAGGAAATGCACAAGGTGAAGGGAATAGTTAGTGAAATTATTACCCTTTAGGGCAGTCGGCTAAAAGGTTGAATGGAACACATTGAAAAACATTTCAAATGGGCTACAAAAACACTTCAGCTGCCCAGTATGAACCTGGATGGAACATGAATGCACGTCCTCCAACATAACTCGAAGTTGAGTAGGCTGTTCCAAACCTCAATTGGTGCAAAGTAGTAGGACCCGACGGTTTGCCACCATCAGGTTTCAGAGATGCAGTTAGAAAATTACTCAGCAGAATTACCGAGACACGAGCTAGTGTACGGGAATTGTAGGTGGTACAGTCAAACTAGTTTAGATCGCTAATTATCGCAGTCTATAAGAAAGAAGAGAAATCTTCTCATAACAAGTATAATATGATCATTCTGGCCAACACCGTATGCAAAACCTCAGAATTCATTATTCTACGACATCTCACCGGAGCTCGAGAGAACCATAAACAATACAGATGTACAAATATGGTCATCGTGTGAAGCATTGAACTTGCAAAAGAGGCCCTATTTTTAGTCACAATGAAACGGAATAAAAATTTGAAACAGCCTAATATCTTTAGAGAAAAACACTGGTTTGCATATATCAATTTGCAAATGAGAAAAAATCAGAATCTTTCACAAACGAGTTTAATAGATTAAAATAAGACAAGAATATGTTTGATTGTGTACAATCACAGTAAAAGTCTCTAAGAAAAATTCCACTTTCCACGACGTAAATCTTCTTTGACTTTATGATGAACAAGTTGCATACAAGCGACAGCATCCTCCATGCTATTGTGTCCACTCTCTATATTAAATAAAATTTAAAAAAGAGGCATCAGAAGTTTTGTTGATTTGTAGTAGGAAATAATGAGCAAACTCGAAGTACTATAGAAAACTGGGAGTCTTCAGGGAAAATTCTGCTCAGTATCATAATACAAAACGTCAAAAACATCTATCTATTACCAGTTTAACACAATATGGTGCAAAGAATGAACATACCTGGTTTTAAATTATTAGGTGAACTGAAATAAATCTAAATGGTTGAAGTAGTAAATAAGCCCAAAGGTGGGTATTTATTTAAGCTTAGTGAGAGGATATTTGAGGAAATCACCCTAAAATCAGTACAGAGAGACCACATCAGTTACTGACTGGATGAAGACTTCAAAAAATATTGGTGTATGCTTCACTCCCCATTAATTCTTACAGATCAATCAACTCAATAGTGCACACATTGATAGTTAACTAAGATGCATTAAAAGTGGACATATGGAGGAGAGCAACATTAGTTATCTGGATTGTATTAAGGAACTACACTTTGCTTATGCAGGTACGTCTCAAAAACAGTATATATCCGTCGCATACAGTACTATTTTTACAGTGAGGTTTCGGAAAATCATGGGTAAGATTCTGCAGGATCGTCTTTTAAACAGGAAATGTACCATTTAGTCAGTGTTATTGACTAAACTAACTGTACTTTCAATAGTTTGTAAATCCCTACAGATTATTCAGAACGAGAATTTGTGACAAAATTTGTTTTCAATAACTTCTCCTTCAGACTCTAGTTATAAACCCACGAAACCGGGTGGAATACAATAGCTGGTGTAACTCATACAGTAACACTATTTCATTATTGGAACAGTGTTACAGGTTAATAGAGACCGATCAATAGTATTGTTTTGGAAGTGGAATAAAAATAGTGCCAGTGTTAGCTAAATAATGAAATAAATGCGAATAGAATCGTCATCACACAACGAGATAAAATCTACATATAATGATTCATCTACATATATATTTACTTCGCTATTGGAAACTATGATATCTCGTATCACTGACAAATGCTATACTTATGAAACATGCATACAGGACCCAAGTGAGGTTATTCAATTGACCTCAACTAGCCACTAGTGTGAATCTACGAAATTCATCCCTCAAGTTTCTAGAGATTCTTCAGCTAGTTCTCCCGGAATTGAAGATGTGGGTATAGTGGCAAAAAGTGCACTGTTTGACTGGAAACCGAGCTAACAGTTGCCCAAGGAACGGCTCGAATGGATGACATGGTAAAGACTACAAAGAACTATTGTTTCTTTGTAATCTATACTTCTCACTACTTATGCTTACAGTTGGAATAAAGTTAACAAAGAGTTCTACAGCCGAAACTAAGTAAACATGGGGACATGGAATGTTCGCACAATGTTTGAAGTCAGCAGAGCTGCCCAAACTGCGAAACAGATGAGAAGATATAGCATAGAAGTGCTTGGAATCTGCGAGAAATCTGCAAATGGAATGGAAGTGGACTCTCCAAACTATCAACTGGCTAGCCAATAATCTACTCAGATGTTGTCACAAAGACGACAACCACGAGCACATTGAGTTTCGCAGTGGCTATCATCATGTCCCCAACTGCATCGAAGGCCCTCTTTCATGCAGTGGGAACCAATCTCCTCATGCAAGATCGCGATCATGACAGCAAGATTCAACTCAAAAGGAAGGAAAGTCACAATCATACAATGCTACGCTACACTACGCACCTGCGAATGATGCAGATCAAGAGAAAAAGGAGGAATTCCACAGGCAACTGCAATCAGCAATAGACAAGACCCCACTCCAGAAGGCGACATCAAATTTCTAATGGGTGACATGAATACCAGCCAAACGGGGAGCGGACAACACAGGAAGAGGACTGATCATCGGTCGAGAAGCACTTGGTGAAATGAACGAGTACGGAGAACTGTTTTCTGACTTCTGCACATTAAACGATTTCGTGATTGGAGTCAGGCTGTATGTACAAACACAAGGATATTCACAAGACAACACAACATGGATTTTACCAGACACCAGGACACACTAAAAATCAGATCGACTTCATCTCAATCTCAAGAAAGTGGAGACGTAGCCTACTGGACACAACATCAGATGTAGGTTCACACCACTCACTAACTAGTGCAACGAACACCTACCTTCAAAATCAAGTTGAAAGCCTTCACAGAAGTTGGTGACAGACCACAGTTCAAGTTAAACACCCAGAACAGGAACTGAACTGAAGGACGAAACTACAAACGAAATCTCTTCACATCAGCCATCAGAACAAAATGGGAGACATTGAGCAACATCCCTGAAGGAACCTGCGTGGGACAACACTGAAACTCTTTGAAACAGATGTGGGAAGAAACCCACATAACCGTATTGGGAAGGAAGAAGAAGAGGCAAGACAAGGAATGGATCTCGACAGGCACATAGAAACTGATAGAGGAGGGAGAGGAAGATGGTGAAGTAGAAGATGAACCAGTGCAGTGCAAGGATGCACAACGAAAAGAAGAACTGAATACAACGTATAAAACACTACGCTGGACAAAGAAGTGAAGGAGAGTGCGCGCAAAGACAAAAGACACCTCTACGACACACTGGAAAGTGGAGCAGAACAGGCTGCTGGTAGGAGATACCGAGACCTGAAAACATCATATCAAATAATCAGGTTACTATCTGGGATGGAAGAGATCAACACAGCCGAAGCCAATGAGAGATAGTGAAGGAAACTCAGTTACCACCAAAGAGGAGAAACAAAGGAAACAATGGACTGACCACTTCAAAAAACTCTTGAATCGACCACCACTACCACCACCTGCAACTCGTTCAGAAATACCACCAGCAGCACAGCCACAGAACTATCAGTAAACACAATCAATCCAACGAAAGCAGAAGCGAAGTCTTGAACGCCATAAACCTGCTGAAATCCGCGAAAGCAGCAGGACCAGATGGAATTCCTCCAGAAGCACTGGAAACAGATGCAGAGACAACAACAGTGGACATGCTCACACCACTACTGCAGAAGGTGTGGAGGGAAGGAAGGAAGGAAAGATACCCGTCGATTGATTGGAAGGAGGACTACCTTGTCAAACTCCTAAAGAAGGGCAACCTAATTGTTTGCAAGAACTGGCGCGGGACCATGCTCCTGCACCACCCACCCAAGCAAAATATTAAGCTGAATCATCCTGGAGAGACTAAAGGATGAGCTGGATTCAAACTTACAACCGGACCAGGCTGGTTGGCCGGCTTCAGGAAGAACAAATCATGTGCGGATCAAATCCCAATGCTGCGATACGCATCATCATAGAAAAGACCGTAGAATGGCAATCAACTCAACTCAACCGAAACCTCATAAATTTTGAAAAGGCCTTCGACAGCGTCGACCGAGAAGTAATTTGGTAGGCAACTGCTTCAACACTACACTTTTAGTGCCACAAACCTTCATCAACCTCATTCAATAGCTATATGCTACATGATGCTACATACCAGGTGATTCACAAAGGAAAGCTCAGTGACGCCTTTGAAGTAAAGAAAGGAGTAAGACAAGGTTGCCGCCTACTATCACCAACGACCTACCTGATTGTGGTCGACTGGACTGGATCATGCAACAGACAACTGTGAGGAGAGAGAAGATGGGCATGCGCTGGCTGGACCGATGAAAACACCCCAGGAGAAGATTTGGATTTCGCCGCCGATGATGATGATTTATGTCTAATGTCTTGTTGCACAAACTCGAACATCTACAGGCCATAAATAACAGGTTGGCAGAACAGGTGAGGCAGCGAAAACAGGACTTCAAGTGAATGTAGAGAAGACAGAGGTGATGAAGATACACAACCAACAACAACAACAAGCACCGATCACCATCAACGGGAGAAACCGAAAGGAAGTAGCCCATTTCACCTACCGCCAATGCAGCATCATTTCAACTACAGACGGCATAGGCATAGATGAGGATGTCAAAGCAGCGAGGATTGCAAGGACAGAATGACGGGCCTCCACTAACGTGAAACCAGTGTGGAGATCTACTGCATTGTACTCACCATAAATAACAATATCCCAATTTTCAACACTAATATCAGTCAAGTAAGTCAGTGCTTCTATGTGATGGTTGAGAGACATGGCGTGTCACAAAAGGCATTCTCAACAAACTGCAGACATGTATCATCAACAGTTGCCGTCTACGCTCACTCGATACTGACACTGAAGATCAGATGACCAGAATAACAAGAATAGCCAACACGGAACTCTGGCTGGCTGGCTGGCTGACAAGGAACCAACAAAGAACTCATCATTTAACAAAAATGCGGAAGGAAGTGGAGATGGATTGGATTCGGCGTACACTGAGAAGACCATTCGGAGAAATCACGTGCGAGGCCAGGCCACTGAGTGGATACGAAACGGGAAACGACGAGTTGGGGGTGCGATGCGAGGGTGACATGGAGGAGATTGTGTGAGGAAGAAATGAAAGCTTGTGGGTAGTCGTGGCGCCAGATTGAGAAGAGTGCAGAGAAGAGAGTGAAGTGGCGAAGTGCTACTGAAGTCCTATATTCCACCAAGAAGGCAAAGGCTAAATAATAATAATAATAATAATAATAATAATAATAATAATAATAATAATAATAATAAATATGCATTTACAAATGTAACTGTTCTTGTAAGGACAGTTGCATAGGTGGAAAAACCTGGTAAGCTTGCCGTTGGTTTATTGAAATCTGTTAAGCTTCGTTAGGGAAAGAAACATGAGAATGCATCAAAAGCCCAATGCTTGCGTATCTAGTTGGTACTAAAGCAATATATTGAGGAGACTCTTACATTTATCACACTATACGGAGTGCTGCTATATTCCTCTAAGTTTGTACAACTCCGGATACTAAGCATAGTAGAAGAAATAGAAATTCGAATTTTGAAACTCAATTTATACATACAAAAGATGTTTATTAGGTTACTTTCTTTATGATGGCCTTTACCGCCAGCTCACATACAATTACAATGACTACCTTTCCTAGTTAAACTGGATGAATTCAAATATTATCTGTTTACACTCTTAGCATTATCATCATCGTTATACTCCGTCTTGATTTTCATTCACACGGCCTAAATTTATTAATTCATAAGGAATAACGAACATTTTATTATCGAATCGCAACGTGACAGTAACTTAATCTTCTCTACCTCTACCGACACATAATCTACTCATACATTCTAGATGACTGCCTGCTAAAATTATATCGATTATGAGTGATTTCTTAAGTTGTTACTATCACCTTTTTATTTGTTTTTATTTTTTCTATTCATGCACTCAAGCCCGAATTCCATTAACCATAACGGTATCAAACGCCGATGTAGGATAACTTCAAAATGCATTTGCAAAAGCATAACGAGAGATTACCAATAATATTCTAATAATATCTAAAGTGAATTTACTAATCAGTTTACTGCTTAACTCTAAACATCACGAATTCTTCGATTAGATCCAAATTTGTTCCATAACACTGGTAGGAAGTGAAAAAAGTCAAATAGACTGGTAACTTACCATTCTGTTGGATAATTTGTTGCAAGATTTCACTGACCAGATTGCGTAAAGCTCGTTTATTTGGTAATCCTAAACGATGGGGAAACATTATAGACGTGTCCACAACTTTGCTATGTATCAGTTTAAGAGCAGTTAAATCACTTTCCAAACTGTGACCGACTAGAATTGTATCTGAATCAAATAAGTGTAACAATTTCGCTTGAATATCAGTAATATGATAACTAGCTTGTTCAACATCTTCCAGTCTTAAACCGGAAAAACGTGAATTACAGTCAACAATAGGGTTATCAGGGCACACAATTTCGTCTAGAACAGCTTCGAGCTTTGAATTGACAATAGTAATTCTAGCCAATTCACAGCCTCCAGTTGTGTAAACCATTTCACAGTCAAGAGCATAAACATTGTTACAAGCCTCTTCTTGAGCATCATCCCCTTCATATACTTTTGATGATTTTGGAAAAGGAGGTAGAGTGACAACAAAGCCCTCATTATCCAACCATTTGTTAGCATCATGGACATGACCTTTAGAACAGATTTGACAGCCTGGTTGACCAATGTCACCATTACAGCACAAATAACGTAAATCTAAACCACGTCCAAAACCTGTCAAACAAAAAAAATTGACATCCCCAAAAAACAAACATTTTGTATACAGGCATAAACGTGAAAAGAGTAATGATAATTATTAATCAATGAGTTTTCAAAAGGTGAGAGTGAAACTACGATCACAGGCTACTTTTCGAAGTAAGCACAGTTTTGATCCCTTTTGACTAAAAAAAATACCATTGCCGATATCCGGCATTTTGCTATATAAGTTTTGTGTAGCTTGATTGATGTTAGCAGTCGTGATTCCGTTGAAACAGTTGGCGGAGATGAGAAATTCTGAGCGTACTTTTAATTGATCTCTTCATTTGTTGCAATATTTTAAATCTCGATTACTACATTAAGCTAACATGACAACATGCCGGATACCAACATCAAAAAATACATTCCAGGGGGGAATATTTAACATAGCGAAGAAAATTTGTAGGACACAAGGATTATTTAAGTGATGTGTTCTCTATAATAAATGTACTAGAAATGAAGCCTTCAATGTCATTCTCAAGATTATCGTGTGTTCACATTGACCTAACGTGTCAATCAACAAGATAGGAAACAATAACGAGGTCAGTAGGAAAGCCGATTGAAATATAGGTGTAAGCAATGACGATTTAATTGGCCGAAACAATTGATGAAATCTATAATCACTATAAGCTACCAAGCCGTTTGTGATGGTGTTGTTATCAATGAACACAATGAAAGCTTTATGAATGAAACATCCAGTTCAGAGAGCAAAACACCATCAATAAGAATAATTAATGGTTATCAGATGTAAGCCCAACCAAACTAAAAATCAATACTTATCTATGATTTCTTTACTGGTTTCAACGATTGGCAATCAAGCAACATGTAGTATAGCAGAGGTATTACTACGTAATGGTTTTAGTTTCAGTACCTGACATCAACAGCATATTTAGGTACCAGGCAACACGGAGAAAAACAAAGAAACAGATAAAAGTGTGATTAGAAATCGCAGAAAGTCATAACAGTGGAAGGGGGAGGTAAAACATAGCGCAATGCCATACTAAGATTAAGTGCATTTTCATCTACGCCACCGCAATACATTCTGAAGTATATCATTCGGTCTGGAATTATTAATTTCAGTTGCTTTGTGGGAACTAAAACAAAAGTCAACATTTCCCTATATCCTTAACAGAAGCTTCACGAATTGACTTACCGCTTTATTTAAACTACTCCTAACATTCCAGCTTAAACCAAAGTATATCAGGCGTGAATACTTACTAGATACGAGTAAATATACCCCAGACAGCTAAATCGATGAAGGTTGACAACATCACCAATTACGTCATCTGTTCCATTTAAGATTCTACGCCTTAGCTCGAACAAAACTACGAAGGTGGTCCGGTAACACGTGAGCAGTGTTACACAGGAAACAGTGATCAAACACTTGAAATCTCACGCCTTCCAGCTGAAATGGATATGTTTCATGACCATACATACAAAACAGCTGTTCAGTGCTTCCAGGTTTCCAACGTCCCTCCAAATGATGTCAGTCATTGATGAATACTAACCTGAAATCAATAAATCCCCAAATTAAAAAAGATATGGATTTTAACATTACTTACTTCTCTGTTTTACAGCCTTACCCCAGTGGTAGATGCATTCACCTTTAGTTAGTGACTGTCCAAATTCATCAACAAGAAATCGTGTACCACATCGGCAACAAACTCGCTCATTGGCTACAGTACAAAGGAGAAAGTAATCAACAACTTAAGTCGTGGAAACTAATTTTAAGAAAATACTTGTACCAATAAACGTACGGAAATTCAGAAAAAATAGGATTTTAAAAAGTTGAAGTACCTATGTTACAGTGTGTAATAAGATTCCCCAAATCTTCATAAAGAGCAGTAAACGCCTGAGAACCTATTTTAACCAATCCTTTTGTTCCGAAGTTTCGGGAAAAACACGGGAACTAACGTGTGTCAGACTGGTTGAAGAGACAAAAATCACTAAAATGTTCTATTCTAGAAAGACCCGGAAGCAACCAACGCCATTGTAAATATTTATAAAAACTTGCGTTTAGAACATGTTTTTGACGTTACAATACATCTGTTACCCCACCGCCAAATAGTAAACACAAGTTGTAAATGTTCCCCTTTGGAATTCAAACCAATTAGAAAAAAAGAGCTTTCTCCTTCATTTTTTGAGTAACATTTTTAAAAAGAGACTGATTGAGCGAAGAAATATATTCCTTTTCAATTAGATCTTCATCTTGGGCTCCACACTAATTTAATCAAATTACCAATCACGTGATGATGTTTCGGAAATAATGGTGCAATTAATCAATAGAGTTTCTAAAATTGGAAATATGAATATTGATAGAAACAAGAAGGGGAAGAGGTGTACAAAGTAAACCTAGACGTTACATCATGTTGACGGCCACGGTAATGAAAGGGGTCGAACAAACTTCTTTCGGATAGAAAGGCTAGGTTTGTAAAGGTGGATTGCAATCGCCTCTGCTATGTGAAGTAACCGAGTGCATAATCCATGAGGTAAATTAATTGGAATTTGATGGATGATCTTGAAGGCTTTTCTGGTAACCACTTGATGTCCTGTGTCAACTAAGTGTGCAAGTATGGAGCTCTTTATAGTCCCTTATTCAGCCATGATGGGTGGTGCTCAGAAATTCGACGACGGAACTGCCTCATTGTACACCCAATGTAACTAGCTCCATAGGAGCAGTTGAACTGATAAATGCACATAGAAGTGGCAGAATCAGGTAGTTTGTCTTTATTTCTTGCACTTGTCTGGGTAGCCATTCCTACTAAGCAGATCACGGATGGTGGCGCACTCTTCCTTTATAGCATCCTCTGAGCAAATAGCTGAGGCACGGTATGCTAAGCATTTCACAAGGTTCCTTTTGTACTGGAGGCGTAAAGCACTAAAGAAGTGCGTATACTGACCTGTTGATGTTCGCTTTCTATAAACATCGACAAAACAATAAGAAGACGTAAGTTGTCTGAACCGTGTAATGTATTTGCGCAACACATTTCGAACTATCTGATCACACACGTACTTGTCATAGGTATTTATATAAAAACTCATGAAGATAAGGGGTGAGAAAATAAAAAGGGGTCAGGTAGGAAGGCTGACTTAAAGGCCGAATAACAATGAAAATCAATAGGGCGAAAAAATAATAGTACATCGAACTTGGTTTTTCAATAGTTGAATTTACCAAGGAAGGTTTAATGTGACAACAAATTGTTTATGAATACATAAGGGTGGTTTAAACTTCCTAATAGCTAAGGCTTCAACAAATTTCAGGATCCCTCCCCAACATGTTTTGTAAATATGTGTAAAGGAAGTAGCCACATCAATCTTGTGACCTGTCTCAACGATATGTTTAGCGATCGAAGAGCTTGGACGTTTGCTACCAACATTTATAGGTTCAGGTGATTTGATTTGCTTCTGAAGCCACTTTGGAATATGTTCTGAGGCCCTTACTTGCATGGATCTATTAGTCCTCCCTATGTATATGTCACCACACGTACATTTGAATTGGTAGATACAATGGGATGTGACATTATCGTTCACATGCTGTGGGGGTTTCGGGGAATATAAGGGCTTCGTGGTTTCGATTACTCGAACCCTGGCTGCACAATAAGTCCTTCTAACAGCAGCGTTGAGTCTCTGCTTAAGGATTGCACTCTGAGAGTCACCTTTGTACGGAAGGCTGATGAAGACATCCTTCTTTGGGACTGACTGCAGTTCTAGTTTTGACGCTCTGCTGATTTTGTTCTGCCTGATAAATGTTGATGGATAGTTATTTTCCAACAAAATATCGGTCAGTGTTCCTCTTTCATCTTCTAAAGTATCCTCGGTGCATATTCGCTGAATTCTGCTGAATAAGCACCTTACTAACGTTCGCTTGTACTGAACTGGGCAAAAGCTATGGTAATTCAGATATTGCCCTGTCCATGTGGGTTTTCTGTAGATAGATCGTTTATCAGGCAGAACAAAATCAGCAGAGCGTCAAAACTAGAACTGCAGTCAGTCCCAAAGAAGGATGTCTTCATCAGCCTTCCGTACAAAGGTGACTCTCAGAGTGCAATCCTTAAGCAGAGACTCAACGCTGCTGTTAGAAGGACTTATTGTGCAGCCAGGGTTCGAGTAATCGAAACCACGAAGCCCTTATATTCCCCGAAACCCCCACAGCATGTGAACGATAATGTCACATCCCATTGTATCTACCAATTCAAATGTACGTGTGGTGACATATACATAGGGAGGACTAATAGATCCATGCAAGTAAGGGCCTCGGAACATATTCCAAAGTGGCTTCAGAAGCAAATCAAATCACCTGAACCTATAAATGTTGGTAGCAAACGTCCAAGCTCTTCGATCGCTAAACATATCGTTGAGACAGGTCACAAGATTGATGTGGCTACTTCCTTTACACCTATTTACAAAACATGTTGGGGAGGGATCCTGAAATTTGTTGAAGCCTTAGCTATTAGGAAGTTTAAACCACCCTTATGTATTCATAAACAATTTGTTGTCACATTAAACCTTCCTTGGTAAATTCAACCATTGAAAAACCAAGTTCGATGTACTATTATTTTTTCGCCCTATTGATTTTCATTGTTATTCGGCCTTTAAGTCAGCCTTCCTACCTGACCCCTTTTTATTTTCTCACCCCTTATCTTCATGAGTTTTTATATAAATACCTATGACAAGTACGTGTGTGATCAGATAGTTCGAAATGTGTTGCGCAAATACATTACACGGTTCAGACAATTTACGTCTTCTTATTGTTTTGTCGAAGTTTATCAAGGGAACTAATTGTTTTAAATTTCGATAAAGACTTCGCTTTAGGGTTCCATCTGATCTGAACATCAAGAAATGGGATAGTATCGTTTTTCTCCTATAACATTGTGAAGTTGATTGCCGGGTGAACACTATTGAACTAATTCAGAACAGCATTCTTATTAGTCTCACTTTTGAGAACTATAAAAGTATCATCCATGTAATGACAATATAACTCTAAACGGCTAATAGTATCGTTCAGTGGACCATTCTCAAGTTTTGCCAGAAAAAAATCTGCTAAGAGCGGACCAAGAAGTGACCCTATAGCAACGCCATCAGATTGCCGGTAGAGTTCATTGTTGAAAAGAAATTGTGCGTTTATTGTACACCTCAGAAGTAGTTCTTTCAATGTGGAGAATGGAATACCTATTTCCATGCCATGCTTTGTAAGTTCGTTGCAAATTAAGTCTACTGTCTCCATTAAAGGAATGTTAGTAAAAAGAGATGAAACACCACACGAAATCATTAACTTATTCTCTACTTCCAGATCCTCAACCTTTCCAACAAATTCAAAGATATCTTTGAGACTGTATTTCACAACTTCTTTGTGGAGAGGCTTCAAGAGTTGTACCAACCTTTTAAGTTGAGGTTATTGACTATTATTCAAGCTTCTAATGGTGACATGCAATAAAAGTACAACAATCTTTATTCAAAAAGGCATAGGAATAATTCGGGAAAGTTGAAAATTAATATGTTGTGATACTGTTTCACGAGTTAAGAGTTCTAACAGCAGGTGCATGAACAGAGTATCATGAACTGTTCGTAGGTTTATGATTGGAAAAGATCTTCGAAACTACCATACTGTTTCAAGTTAGTTGGTATGAGAAATATCCCATTCATATGCGATTTTAGGAAGAATACTTCATAATGGAATTTATGAAGTGACTATTCGATGCCTTTCAAGCACTATGCTCTTTGAGTTCCTGTTTCAAAATTAAATTTTTTTTAAATAGCCAGATATGCATGAACTGAAAGCAGACCTTGTTTTATGTCCCTCTGAATCACGTTCATTAACATAAAAGAAAACTTAGGCAATGCGGAAGAGTAAAATCCCATATTATACGATTTTAGACAATTAAAAATCCCCATTTTATATATTAAAAGTCAAATATGAATGGAGAATATTCTTTTCAATAACTTCTCATCGGGTTCCACAGTTATAAAATCAATTTCGTCGAAAAATTATTATTTTTAACTATAATTCCATATGGATTCCTAAATGCATCCGTCGTAAATTCTGGTCATTATTACGTTAACGAAATTGATTTTATAATTGCAGAACTTGATGAGAAATAATTTAAAAAAGATTCTCCGTTTATATCTGATCTCATTTGGTTAACTAGTTCACTAGTTACTAGCCGGTACTAAGCCCGGATAAAGAGGGAACGTTGGGCATAGAAATAGCAACCCTATCAACTAAAACCAATCCAATAGCAAAACAAAATTCAAAGCACCAACGAAATGTAAACAATAAAAACAAACTTATTCCTTGCTGAAATCTGAGAGACAAAATGACGCCAGCTGGTGAAAGACTTAGGGAAGCCAATTAACCAATGTATCTTCTCGACTCTCGACGAAAGCAAAAGTAAACATGGGGACATGGAATGTTCGCACAATGTTTGAAGTCAGCAGAGCTGCCCAAACTGCGAAACAGATGAGAAGATATAGCATAGAAGTGCTTGGAATCTGCGAGAAATCTGCAAATGGAATGGAAGTGGACTCTCCAAACTATCAACTGGCTAGCCAATAATCTACTCAGATGTTGTCACAAAGACGACAACCACGAGCACATTGAGTTTCGCAGTGGCTATCATCATGCCCCCAACTGCATCGAAGGCCCTCTTTCATGCAGTGGGAACCAATCTCCTCATGCAAGATCGCGATCATGACAGCAAGATTCAACTCAAAAGGAAGGAAAGTCACAATCATACAATGCTACGCTACACTACGCACCTGCGAATGATGCAGATCAAGAGAAAAAGGAGGAATTCCACAGGCAACTGCAATCAGCAATAGACAAGACCCCACTCCAGAAGGCGACATCAAATTTCTAATGGGTGACATGAATACCAGCCAAACGGGGAGCGGACAACACAGGAAGAGGACTGATCATCGGTCGAGAAGCACTTGGTGAAATGAACGAGTACGGAGAACTGTTTTCTGACTTCTGCACATTAAACGATTTCGTGATTGGAGTCAGGCTGTATGTACAAACACAAGGATATTCACAAGACAACACAACATGGATTTTACCAGACACCAGGACACACTAAAAATCAGATCGACTTCATCTCAATCTCAAGAAAGTGGAGACGCAGCCTACTGGACACAACATCAGATGTAGGTTCACACCACTCACTAACTAGTGCAACGAACACCTACCTTCAAAATCAAGTTGAAAGCCTTCACAGAAGTTGGTGACAGACCACAGTTCAAGTTAAACACCCAGAACAGGAACTGAACTGAAGGACGAAACTACAAACGAAATCTCTTCACATCAGCCATCAGAACAAAATGGGAGACATTGAGCAACATCCCTGAAGGAACCTGCGTGGGACAACACTGAAACTCTTTGAAACAGATGTGGGAAGAAACCCACATAACCGTATTGGGAAGGAAGAAGAAGAGGCAAGACAAGGAATGGATCTCGACAGGCACATAGAAACTGATAGAGGAGGGAGAGGAAGATGGTGAAGTAGAAGATGAACCAGTGCAGTGCAAGGATGCACAACGAAAAGAAGAACTGAATACAACGTATAAAACACTACGCTGGACAAAGAAGTGAAGGAGAGTGCGCGCAAAGACAAAAGACACCTCTACGACACACTGGAAAGTGGAGCAGAACAGGCTGCTGGTAGGAGATACCGAGACCTGAAAACATCATATCAAATAATCAGGTTACTATCTGGGATGGAAGAGATCAACACAGCCGAAGCCAATGAGAGATAGTGAAGGAAACTCAGTTACCACCAAAGAGGAGAAACAAAGGAAACAATGGACTGACCACTTCAAAAAACTCTTGAATCGACCACCACTACCACCACCTGCAACTCGTTCAGAAATACCACCAGCAGCACAGCCACAGAACTATCAGTAAACACAATCATCCAACGAAAGCAGAAGCGAAGTCTTGAACGCCATAAACCTGCTGAAATCCGCGAAAGCAGCAGGACCAGATGGAATTCCTCCAGAAGCACTGGAAACAGATGCAGAGACAACAACAGTGGACATGCTCACACCACTACTGCAGAAGGTGTGGAGGGAAGGAAGGAAGGAAAGATACCCGTCGATTGATTGGAAGGAGGACTACCTTGTCAAACTCCTAAAGAAGGGCAACCTAATTGTTTGCAAGAACTGGCGCGGGACCATGCTCCTGCACCACCCACCCAAGCAAAATATTAAGCTGAATCATCCTGGAGAGACTAAAGGATGAGCTGGATTCAAACTTACAACCGGACCAGGCTGGTTGGCCGGCTTCAGGAAGAACAAATCATGTGCGGATCAAATCCCAATGCTGCGATACGCATCATCATAGAAAAGACCGTAGAATGGCAATCAACTCAACTCAACCGAAACCTCATAAATTTTGAAAAGGCCTTCGACAGCGTCGACCGAGAAGTAATTTGGTAGGCAACTGCTTCAACACTACACTTTTAGTGCCACAAACCTTCATCAACCTCATTCAATAGCTATATGCTACATGATGCTACATACCAGGTGATTCACAAAGGAAAGCTCAGTGACGCCTTTGAAGTAAAGAAAGGAGTAAGACAAGGTTGCCGCCTACTATCACCAACGACCTACCTGATTGTGGTCGACTGGACTGGATCATGCAACAGACAACTGTGAGGAGAGAGAAGATGGGCATGCGCTGGCTGGACCGATGAAAACACCCCAGGAGAAGATTTGGATTTCGCCGCCGATGATGATGATTTATGTCTAATGTCTTGTTGCACAAACTCGAACATCTACAGGCCATAAATAACAGGTTGGCAGAACAGGTGAGGCAGCGAAAACAGGACTTCAAGTGAATGTAGAGAAGACAGAGGTGATGAAGATACACAACCAACAACAACAACAAGCACCGATCACCATCAACGGGAGAAACCGAAAGGAAGTAGCCCATTTCACCTACCGCCAATGCAGCATCATTTCAACTACAGACGGCATAGGCATAGATGAGGATGTCAAAGCAGCGAGGATTGCAAGGACAGAATGACGGGCCTCCACTAACGTGAAACCAGTGTGGAGATCTACTGCATTGTACTCACCATAAATAACAATATCCCAATTTTCAACACTAATATCAGTCAAGTAAGTCAGTGCTTCTATGTGATGGTTGAGAGACATGGCGTGTCACAAAAGGCATTCTCAACAAACTGCAGACATGTATCATCAACAGTTGCCGTCTACGCTCACTCGATACTGACACTGAAGATCAGATGACCAGAATAACAAGAATAACCAACACGGAACTCTAGCTGTAAATGAATCAACCAACAACTCATCGCCCAACAAATATTCAGAAGGAAGTGGAGATGGATTGGATTCGGCGTACACTGAGTAGACCATTCGGGGACATCACGTGCGAGGCCAGGCCATCGAGTGGATACCAGACGGGAAACGACGAGTTGGGGGTGCGATGCGAGGGTGACATGGAGGAGACTGTGTGAGGAAGAAATGAAAGCTTGTGGGTAGTCGTGGCGCCAGATTGAGAAGAGTGCAGAGAAGAGAGTGAAGTGGCGAAGTGCTATTGAAGCCTTGTGTTCCACTATGAACCTTAGGGAAAATAACAATAATACTAGTAATATTTAACTTTTAATCCCATGTTAGACTGTTTATTTTATAACACACAGTGACAGTATAATTTACTGGATGACTTTTCGAGCACAACTCATTGCTCGTATCCACTTCAAGTAATTATACGACTTTTAAATTTCAGTTATATAGTCCAAGACTTTATTTATTGTGATTGTAAAATTTTCCATGTATGTGCAAAATGTGATGAGTCATTCCTGTTGCAGGTGTTAGGTGTGAATTCAAGGAACAAAGATTCTGTGATCAATCTCTCCCTCCACCTACCTATATTGAATTTTAGAGACGTCACCCTATACTGGATGTGTTCTGATTGCAGTACAATAAATGTGTCATATAGATATCGCCATCTCACTTTTGGGGTCGGTTGGAATGTTCTCAATGCTATTTGTTCCCAACTGTCTATAAGAATGTCTACTACGACTAGGGATATTGGAGATCCTATCGCTACTTCCTCTGTGTAAGCGAAACACAATCTTATCCCTGGCATAATTTCTTCAACAGAAACTTTAGTTCTATTACTGACGGAGCACCTCTTTTAGTGAGAGGCACTGCCATAAGACCTCTCGGTCGATCGAGTCAAATGATGCCTTCAAGTCCAATGGATGATAGTGATAGAAACTGACATATTCGTCATATAGTTTTTGGTTGAGGTTTCAGAAAACCAGACATGTGGTACCAACAACTTGAATCTTTATCATGACCTGCAGGTAACGTTCCGATACATTATATTAATCTCATCCAGACGTTACCAGCAAATAATGGTGTTAGCTGTGTAATACATGTAAAAACGAACTGAGTAGAATTATACTTTACCACAGTGTACAAGTTTTTATCTTTATCGACTGCTGGAAGAAATGAAAGCTGACGTAGGAATATTCAGATAGAGATGTGTACTGAATGGTTAGAAGGAAACGATTTGAAAGGTTGATAGTGATCAAAAGGGATTTGAGTGTAGAGGACAAATGATACCTTTCGGCTGCCTACAACGTGGAAGGTTGGTTTTTCTTCTTGAGGTATCTGAGAAAAAAGTGACTCAGGAACAACGATACGTGACTACAGTGCCCAGGAGATATTTATTCGAGGCCAATAGTAAACAAATGCCTTAGCAGTTTGAAATTTAGGCTTCATTGTGTTGAAAACAGACTAGAAAAACTGATACCACCGGCACAGAAAGACAGCAAGGCAAGGTGAAGTGTCCTGTTCTTAAAAGTTAACCTCTTCCTTATGATGACTGAAGGAAATATCAGCATAGACTACCGGTAACCCACGGGAGACACCGAGCAACTACCGGTGCTAATTCGCTCCTTCTTCCACTATAGCGTAAACTATTTGCATTGTGAGAGCAATTGGATATAGTTTTACCCCTACCCGACAAACGTTTCTGGAGTAGAAAGATCTTTAACAACATAGGAATGCACTATCTGACCCTGCACTGCTGCCGCACGGATTAGACTTTGAATCAAAGGTACAGAGAGTGCGTCCTTAAGATGACTAACTATTTTGGTCCAGGCACCCAGGTAGTATCTCAGACCACAAACCTCGTAGAAATATTTTTTCTATTGCAGTTTTGGCAAACAAAGACTTTTCCGTTTTAGTTTCGTTGACAAGTTTAAACAGCTGTCTACTAGGGGCTATCAGCATTATTTCTTTACCTTCCTGGCTTTTTATGAACAAAGCAGCTAAAAGAAATAGCCTATAAAGTAATTTATTATACACTAAAATGCTTACATTATTAAATAAAGTTGAAAAAATTAGAAAAAAGGCACCTGAACGTTAATGGATTCAGTCTAAAATGAAACTTACATTGACAATTACCATATAACTGACGTTTATTCTCTGGTATATATAAAGCTGCCTTTCCTCTAACAATTGTATCGTTTTTCTTTTAATTCACGGGATAACCATTGGTTGATAGATCATCTTCTGATAATAAATATGTCGTCAGTTGACTATACAAAAGAGGACCTTCAATAAAGATATCATATAAAGAAATGAAAAAATGTATTAGTGTGATACCACTTGAAAGAACTTGTGATTTTCAGGTATGCAGAGAATCAACAGCACTAAAGGAAAACGTTTACCTCCAATGTATACCAGACGCTTACACTTTGCTGATTTCTAATTATTCTTGACTGTAGTAATAGTGAAATATTGTACAGCACAACACCGGTGGGAACAGACAGAACAGCTTATGGGGGAAGTCACAATGAGTAGTGATAAAATATCACAACCCTGCACTTAGCTAGACTAGAAATTGATGTGAACCAGCCTTGAAGCCTTACTGAATTGAGGCGACTCAGGCACTATGTGCAGCTTTTTGCGATAAGTTATGAGCAATACCTATTGTGGGATATTTGGTGATGGTACTCGGTTTCTCATAAATTGATAGGTGAAGTGGGTGTGAACTAGTGACTCACTGGTCAAAAGTTGATTTACTTAGACCACTAACACACAAATTCATCTTATAACTACAGATTCACTTCGCATTTGGCGAGTGAAAACGCGTTTAGATATATTGAAATTTTTACTCATCCTTCACAATACCCCACAACCGACCAGCATCTTCGCCCAACCGAATTGTCGTTTGCTAATTTTAAACTGAATAAGGAATCTCTCGTGAAGAAAAGCATGTTCGGACTATTCAAACTGACTTTTACCAGATGGTCTGTAAGATATAAAAAAAGGAATAGGGACAGTAAGCATCACCAGCTAATACCATTTGTTTTTATCATCTCAGATGAAAATTTTTCGAACACCTTTAACAGGATTAGAAGATAAAAGTGATACAGTAAGTGTTGAAAACATGAAGAAATGGTATCTCACACAATTCACATATATCTGTGATATATATGCAGCGAAAAAGATGATATCAGCAGTTTCATAATACTAGCATGCAAAAAGAAATAGAACAAGTGTATTAATAGGACATTTGTACTAATATCACGAATTTCTTTACGGTAAGGAAGACTTTTATTTCAATATTTTTTTTAAACGAAATCGGTTAAATTTGGACACCAAGAGATGTGCATCAAGCAGACAGGAAGTCACGTAGAAGGGGAACAAAAACGGAACCGAAAATAGATATGTGCCAAAAGAGAAGCAGTTCTGGACATTCACTTAAAGAAGCATTCGGTATAATTCACTGTACTTTCCAAAAATAATAGAAGAAACACAAGAACAGTTGAATGACAACAAATAATTTCGATTCTTTCTTTCAACAAGTCCCATAACAAGAAGATAGTAAACGATGACCCTTCTAGTGTAAAGTTCGTGTTAGCTGGAAGTAGGTGATTATCTGAACACAGTTGTAACAGGCAATCACCATTATCCGTTAGTTCGACTGGGATTCCGAAATTACCCATCCGCTATTTTCCTGACCAACATAGCCTATCCAGTTGTGCATTGAAATCTCCTGATACGACCATCAAGTCTGACCAATCGGCTTCCAGTACGACGCTAGGCAGCCAGCTTTCTGTAAAACTCATCATTCACTTAATTCGGAATGCAGTCAGTGGATACGGAAGCAGAGACCACAAGGAGACAAGTACGACTACCTTTTTTAACCACCACCACCACCACCACATCATTAAGTCTAACAGCGCACAGGCGACTATCGACTGGTATCCAGTCGAGCAGTGCACTTTCTGCCTCATGACTTAACGCTACACCTACACCCATACAAGGCCGCGAGAACTAACCACCAAGTGTTGAGAAAATCAAAGGAGGAATTTCGTAAATTCACACTAGTAGCCAGATGAGATCAAGTGAGTAGCCGAACTTGGGTTGTGTATGTGTGTCTCACAAACATATCACACGTCTATGGTGTAAGATCCCAGAGTTTTGACCAGTGAAGCTTGTTGGTCGACTTGACAGTGGTAGGGGTGCAGAGATTGGAAGCTGTGATGCGTGTGTTTGAGGGCTGGTTGAGGAGATCAGTAATGTTGCTCCGCAAGCCCAAACCATTACCAATGGCTGGAGGGAATTAAAAATTAGAAAGAATTAGAAAGATTGATCGGGAAATATGAAGAAGAATTAGAAGAAAAAGATGATCTGAAAGAAATTGACTGCTGACAGAGTTGGCGCTTCCCGGCTGCTTACATCTTCTAGAGATACCTGAGAAAGATATTGTACTAGTAATAGATAGTGGTGTGTGATCATAGACCCCAAGAACCACCTGCTTAGGACCGATCACATGGCCGTTTTGAAAGTTTGAATACACCTGAAAAACTCGTAGCAACAGAAGACAGCGGAGTAGAGAGAAGTGTGTTATTTCTATAGTAGACCTCTTCCAACCCCTTCCCTTTGATGAAAGAAGGCAGTATCAACATGAACTGCTGGTCGCCCATGCCAAACACCTTGCTGCTGTCACATTCTGACTGACCAGCAGGACAATTTCACCCTCGGACCATATTTAATGGAGTAGGTTATTTCCACTATGATGGTAGCTGGTTTTAGTTTTACTACTACTACTATTCGGCAGATCTTTCTCGCATGGTAGTACCTGAAGGAACAATCCTACTGGTGGGCGTTTCTTGTTGAGTCATTGTGACAGGCGAGCGCGAACTCCATGTAAAGGTGGCATCTGTTGATTAGATTTGTAATCAGGTTCTTACATTAGAGGTGCAGGACTCTGACTGACGAGCACGTAAAGGTAGCAGGTATCGATCAGAACTACACTTTGTTCTGAAACAATAGGATAGATAGATGGCTGTATGTCCTCCTTTCAACCAAGCCGCTATTTTATAGGCCTTTCAGACAAAATCCTCGGAGATATTCTTCTGTAACAGACTACTTTGAAGTGCATTCCTGCCAAAAAAATCGAAGACAGCTTTGATATCAAGCAATAAAACGGTCGTTGACCTGCAATGTGTGTGCATTGTTCGAGAATTTTGGACCTTCTCACACTAGGTTCCGTGCTCCTACTTGGGTCTTGATGGAGCCGCCAAAGCTTACTTATACTTCCTGGAGGTTCTACACCCAGCCTTGGACTTAGATTGATTCGGTTTTCAGTTGCAGTACTGGCAGTAACTTATTTTGGTAAATCAACTCGTTCAAGGCGACTACTTTAAAGGTAACCAAAAGCACACACTAAAGCATGATCAGAGTCTATAGATACGTTATAGAAGGAGCCGCAGTCGTAAATACACCCGCACCATAGGTTTCTGATTGAAGTATGATTTATTTGAGTCCAGTATTGAGTCAAAGAGGACGACGCCAAGTAGCACAACGGTGATAGCTGTTCTAGACGTTGGTGTTGACTAGAAATAGGTTTTGATCTGCGCAAAACTGCAAAAGATGCTCTTCACTATATAATGTGTGACCGACCAGTCCTCATTGGCCACCTAAACTACGCTCTTCTGGGCCTCAACGCCCAATCTGTGCATGCAAGTGTCCAGCTAGCACCACTATGTCTATCAAGTGCACTTAATAGGAAATATAAATTATTTGATGATAGAACTCATCCTTATATGCACCCGGGTTGTAGTCAGTTGGGAGATAAGGAGAGATGATGAGATATTATTTTTCTTGTCAACTACATCTCAATTTAATTGATTTTTTACGCTTTACAGTAGACAGGTGACTGTTCGTTGAGATCCAGTCTACTTAGGTAGCTTCAATTTTGAAAAATAAGAACGACACGAACACCAATAGTGGTCTGATGTTGTAACTACAGGGTCCTTGGATAAGTGCATGGTACACAAGTCTTTGAAGAAGTGTATGCAAGTATCTGAAATACAGCAAGCATCGATAGCCGACTGGTCTTTGAAACTAGGTATAGTCGTGATTTTCCCCTGTTCAGAGAGATATGTCATGCATAAACAGATCAATAAGTATATTTGATCAACTCAAGAAAACATCTTGCATGTGTAACGGTATTCCTATTGGTTATTCGTGTTCCATGCTACCATGACTATTAGCATGGTCATATTGGTTTATCTTCTAAATATAGCTGAGTCTATGCTTTTGTGACCATCTTACAGTAAATACTGGTTGACTTGGAGCATACAGACAACATTGTTCTGCTCGGTGAACACATTGACAAAATTCAAGGTCTTCTAAACGCGTAAAGCAGAAGTTTTAATATATTTGGGATGCTTTCCCATCTGTCAAATGTAAGATGATGCTCTAGTACTGGTCTGCAATCACTCCCCGTTTGATGATAAGTGGTGGAGTGGTGTCATGTTTCAGCTACTTCGCCTTAACGGGATAGTTATTGATTAAATCCCAGCTCGGATAAAGAAGGCCCGTTTCGCACTTGTCAACTTGCACCATCTGTGGAGGCGACTGGTGAAATATTCGACTATCTATCACTGCACTGTAGTCAATTCTGTCATGTTGTACGGCTGTGAGAGATGGCCATTAAAAGTGGAAGGCACAAAGCGATTACAGGTTTTCAATCACAGGTGTCTTCGTAGCATTGCCTGCGTTTGGTGGGATCAGCGTGTGAGTAATGTTGAGGTCAGGCGAAGGGTACTTCGCTAGACAGACTAACCGACTGACGAGGTTGTGAACCTTAGTCAATTGAGATGGCCTGGACATGTCTTGTGCATGCCGAGGCACCACCCATCTCGATTTGCCATGTTGGAGGAAGTTGGATTAGGTTGGAATAAAGTTCAGGGTGGTTAGACGAAGTCGCAGTATTAGTCAGGAAAGTCTCTGACTTTTGATCTGAGCCATGTAGGAAAGTGTAAACTACCTGCTTGCAGTCTCCGATAACATAGGAATCGATGGTTGGAGACTGTTGGCGACATGGCTGAAAATTTGTCACAATGGTGAAAATGTATTCACTCCTTGACATCTTTTAAAGCTTGAATATTCACATTAACCTTTACCCTCAGATTTTTTATCCTCCTAGACTACTTTATCTCCTTTGATATCACTTTTTCTATCCATATGTTCTTTTATACTACTGTGTAGTGTGGCAACTTGAGCCGATGTAGCTGTATGTGAGGTTCTACGTTGATTTTGTCAGTTTTGTGTGACTGAATTTGATGAATTGTTAGGTGGAACTGGCTATTGGAACTACTGGGAATATACCTATTACAACTACAATCCTAGATCTTCTTGAATCATTCTGAACTGATAGTTCTAGTGAATACTAAGTGAGATTATTGAGTTTATAATCCCATTCCAAAAACAACACACTATCGTTACCAGCAAAAATAAGAATCTTGTTACTCCAATTAGAAGCGATAACTATGTCTAACGGTAAAACATCTATATATTTTAGTATTCGTAAAAAATATATCAGTAGTTCGTTGGTCTAGAGAGTTGATTTTGACCCAGTGGACCAAGGGTTCAGATACCGCTACACTCACCGAAATCTAGACAGTCACTTATCATCACCAGCTCTTATACAACAGTAATGGCTCACTGCGTAGTGCACAAACTTGCACATGAATTAAGAGTCTTATTATATTCGCATGAGTTAATTTAACTTAAAACGTGAAAGAACAATAACGTGAACTGATAAAGATATATTCCTAAGAGAAGAAACAAATGACTACACAATAATTACCTCTAACAAGACGCTCAAGTTTTTCTTCAGCATCATCTTTTTTACTACTTGACTCATAGGAATCAGATAGGCGTGAATTAGCACATGAGATATTTGATGGACGTGTGACCAGAGTGGAACAAACCTTTGGTTTTTCACCTAACTGTACAGATGTTTTTTCGGCTTTCAGAGATTTCAAACGTTGGATGACAGCATTTAAGTACGCCATTCGACTTGTGCTTTATCGTGACAAACTTGTTCATCTTCAAGAGCCTAAGAAAATAGCAACAAAATATAAATAAAATAAACTCATGGCACCCGTTAAAGAGAACTGGAAGCTAATATCGTCACCACCTTATGCTCTTAAGGCCACATGAAGCAGTGAACTTATAAGGAAAACCTTATCGTCATTTCATCTGTAAAGAAGGATACATGCAAAAGGCTGCAAAAAGACAGAATACTTCATATGAAATATGATCAAGATTTGACCGAGTAGTATCGCAAATATTGGGTTAGCAGTAAAAGGTTGGTATTATACATAGTTTATACTTGAGTAAATCATAGCATGTTCTAAATAAAATAATTACTACGTTTCCCACAGAAGTCTGGTTCGAGTTTCTTCAGGGAAACAGTCAAAAATTAGGATATCAAAGATGCATAAATGAATCCAAAGATATGTGCTTAATCTCTATCCAATCCAGTTTACTTCTACACCAGCCTCACTCCAATTCAGAAAAATTGCATAAGTCTGTAAACAAGACTATGAGTAAAACGTTGTTGAGGCCAATGGTTTGTAGTAGAATGAACAAACCATTGACCTAAACCCCCATGTCACACAAGACTAACTGCGGCAGTTAACTATTCAACGGTTGGACGCTGAGTAACATGGTTCAATCGATCGCGGTGCTGTAGATGTAGGCTTTCAAGTAGAGGATCATGAGACAACTGATTGATCCCTGCCAAGCACATGTCACAAGTATCGTAGTGCCTTGGTGCCTAAGTGCACAGATAAGGCATCAAGGTCAAGAGGATAGTTATTTCCATGGCTAGTACAGGCTAGTCAAAAGTAATTCATATAGCACGTAACGTAGAAAGTCGTGAGAAGAAAAAAAGGAGGAGTGGAACAAAAGTGAAATTCGACATGATTGTTAAGAGCAAGAGAATATGTAGGTGCACCTGAGCCACTGAAATCAATTCTCACCACAACACTTAGAGTCACCACTCACCAAACAAGTATGTATTACTAATCAAAACTCTCTACTAGGAACTCATGCAGTCATTTAAGGGTTTACTGGGAGCTGTCGTATGAAGTGATGACAACCAGTAGCACCTGCAAAGAATGTCGACAGTCACCATTCTTGTTCAACTTCCTTATACACATGCTAAAAGACATCACCCTAGGTACCTCTGACTTGGGAGTGACTTCCTCCAGAAGAGCACCTACTTGGCTTCCAGTAGGCAGACGGCATAGTCGTGTTAGGCGAAAATGCTAACAAAATGCAGAGTTTTTGGATACCTTGGGCCGAAATCTGAGTATGTTTGGATGTCATATGTGTTGCGCCTGTCAACTAAAAGAAGATGCTTCACGGCTGGTTTGAAGATAAGGAGTGAACCCATCGAATCCTTCACTTACTTGGGGAGTTGCATCAGCCCAAAATAGGCGGTTGCTGACAAAATTTCAATCCGAATAGAAAACACCCATTCAGCATTAGATAAACTACGCCATTTATGACGTCGGTGAAATGTTTTACTACCTATAGAATGATGAGTATACTGCGCAGCAGTCCGCTTTGTTCTAAAATATGGCTGTGAAGCATGGCCTGGAAATTAGAAAATATGGTGAGTTTACAGGTTTTGAACCAAAGCGAATATCGCATGATAACTACTCAGGTATGATGAAAGCACAGTGTGAGCAATGGCTAGTTATCTTAGCTTACTAGGCACGGAAGGCAATTAAGCCGATAAAGTTGTGAACCTTTCTCAAACGAAGTAGGTCGGGAATTTGTCACACATACCAGGCTGCTGCCTACCCCGACGTACCATGCTAACAGAAAAAGGATTGCATTGACAGAAGGCTCAGAGTGAGTAGATCATACGTGGCACCAATCCATGGAGTCTCTGACTGTTAGCTTGAGTTATGTGGGGAGGTGTAGACTGCCTGAGTGGATCCCTTGAGATAATATGAATTAATGGATGGAAAGTCTTTGTGATACCATTGAGATTCGGTCGCAATGGCGCAGATGTGTTCTCTCTTCGATATCTTCAAAAGTTTGAACATTTTAACTAATCTTCATTTTTTTTCGTATCTCTTTTCACACACTTTTTTCTAACGTAATATGAATCTTTTTCTACCCAGTAGTTTTTGGCATGTTGCTGTGAAATGTGGCAACTTGAAATGATGGACTCCTGTGTGAAGTTCTACGTTGATTTTATTCGCCTGTCTATCAAGCTCCTTTGATCCCTCTTGGATAGTTGAAAACTGCTGAATTGGTTTCTTTGACTATATTTACCTTATCTTTATCCTGTTAACGCCACGGTTCAAATACATAACAATTTCGTCTGATAAGCCACTTTTATGTTAATAAACTTAGAGATTTAATGCATGACGCACCTGCTTCCTAGAAAACGAATCCGCAATATCTACGCTAATTCCTACATTTATTGCAGTTTTCCAAGCAAAGTTAAACTTACACGTTTGTATGCGTCACCAGGGTGGTCATATATCAAAAGACATTCTTCAATAAATTGATCCAGATAACGAGTTCGAATTGGCATAGGAATTTTGTCACTCTTGCGAAGTGGAACGCGAGGTCTTGCAACACTATCAACCTGTGAATTTCCTGCAATATTGACCTAAAGTTTATAGAATAAAGTTGTTAACATAAACGTGTATGCGCAATGGTTGGCACAATAAACGGACCCAAACACTCCCCTTGAATTCAAAACAAACACTTATATGCAAAGAAGGAACGCACATGTAGGACAGAAATTCGCAATAATCTTGTGGTTGACACTTAATCATCCTATGCATATTACATCTTCATATGCCAAGGTCTTATCACTCAAAAATTGGAACTTTTTCTGCACATTCATATCGAATTTTTATTTAAAAAACAAAAAAGCATGAAATTTCACAGACAAAAAACATATTTTTTACAAATTACATGTTAGCTACATTTTTTCTTCGTTCTTCATCTATCAATGAAATAAGATGGGGAAATAGATTACTAACTGCTCCTTTTACATCGGTTAGTAAGTGATATAAATTAAGAGACAGTTTTCATCATTTTTCAAATTAAAACATTTAGTCACCAGTGACACTTAATGTCCGCTAAAAGCTTCAAATCTTTTATCTAAAGTTATTAAATCCTAATGCAAGAGTAGGACTTGGATGCTGTGGTAGTGTATCATTCTTAGTTAATTTGTTTGTTAAATATTTCACATAATGAAAGTGTGATTCGCTAAGTGATGTTTTGAACAGGATTTAGTGTTCACATTCATATCACCTCGTATTCATTAAATCTTACCTCCTCACTACAAATTGTCTCATAAACCTCAATATATACAAAATTCCATACTTACTAAAGTTGTAATGTATTTTTAGATTACTGCAAAAGGTGACAAAAAAGACACTTGTGTGGAACTATTACGAGGCACTTCAAATAAGAGTTCAGTTGAAGCAAATTTTCATTTATATGCTCCAAAAAACCATACAACGGTTACGCTACTTTATAAATGGGTTATATACCTTCGGAAAAAAATAAGAGAAACTTACGTTGTCAATTTTCTTATTTGTACTTGCCATATCCGGCTTTTTAATAATGGGACCCAGATACGGTGATATAAGTGAAACAGACTTTGAAGAACTCTTAGACATATTGCTTTTGCCACTAGAGCTGTTGTTATCGGTATCACCATACAAGTCTTGATAGAGTGATAAGATTTTTTGGCGCTTTGAAAGTGAGTCATTACTGCCATCATCCCGATCTTCAATTACATTGTCAATAGTCTTTTTATTACCGTTACTTGCACTTTTACTTCATCTGTAACACTTGTCTCCTTACTTTTAGCAGACTTTATTTTACGCTTTAATCTTTTCTTATGTAATGATGATTCATGGTTAATCAGTTTACTGTCCCGTAAATTCTGGATATTATTAGCGGTAGACTGGGTTGACGCATCACCAGAGTCATTCTTCGTGATGATTTGAACAGAATTATCTTCATCTGAATCTATGTTAATTTCAGTAACTTCATCATTATATGAAGGTGCGATTGATTCTGAAATTATTGGTGAAGGCTGATACGTAAAAGGAACAGGTGATTTCAACGATTTAATTTTCACTACAGGAGAATATGTTGGTGGATCTTGAGCTGTAAACCCATTTGTGAATCCATAGTCAGACAGTGAATTTGGTGCGTATTTTTCTAATTCACTTATTGGTGTTGGTTGGTAAACAGGAATCACTTCCTCATAAATAGCCCGTGAGCAGTTAACACTGGTAGGATGCTCGACAACTGACTGACTTTGTGAATTCTCGGTACTTTGGTCCAAAATACTAATAGGCGTTGGTTTGTATACGGGATCAGTTGAAGGTTTATATGATTTCTAACACATTAAAGATTAGATGACATAAGTTAATTACCTCATTTGACGGAACATTTTCTTTAGAAAGACCTACAAAAAGGTTAGAAGCAAGTTATAATCAGGTGATGGAAGTCCATATACTATTGGAGAGTGATTGGACCACGAGATAATCTAACACAAAACTCTATACATCTAGATTGCCATATGTCTTATCAGTCAAACAAAAACACTGAAAGAGGAAATAACCAAACATTAACAGGCGATTAAGATAGGGGAAAGTTAGAAATGATGAGGAACTTAAACTTCTACAGCAAGAAAAAACGGTGACTAACTTTCCCCGTACTGCTTAGATTACACTAACCAACATATCTTAGAGTATTCATCAATCAATCAATCATTATCAACATAGGACCAGGTATTACTGCGTAACGGTCCGAGTTGCCACACCTCACGTCAGTTCATCAAGTAAAAAGTTAGTGAGGTGAAGGATGATAAGAGAATGCAGTCAAAATAAATATGAAGTACCAGAAGAAAGGAAAGAGGAGTGACAAAAAGGTGAGATTCGGTATAGCGTTGTTAAGATGAGGATAATGTGTGTATACATCTGCGCCACTGCCATCGGTTCTGAGCTATATCACCTAGGGTCTCCAACCACTGGTTCCTCTTGTCCCGCGGAGTCTGCATCGTCCTACTTGGCTTAAACCAACAGTCAGAGACTTCATACATTGGTGCCATGTTTTAGCCTGGCCACCTCGAGCCTTTTTCCAGCCTGGACCCACCTCAGCCAACATTGTGTGACAAGAGTATTATTCAGTGGTTTCATGAAGAAACAACGTATTTTGGGACCTCAGGAGTCTTAGATACTTTGGTTCATCACACCAACACCACACAAGGAAGTAGGTTATTACTGAGCGCATGAAGTACACCTGTGTGGCATTTTTATCTATTAAGGTCCATACCATGAAGTAATTCCAATGCTTTACTTAAAAAGCTGTGTGATACAACTCGATATCATTCACTCAAAGCATTCACTATGTGCCGGTAATGTTAATGAAGTGCTATTGTCTAGGCGCATATTTTTTTACAGCTAAATCGTGATGGCTTTTCGCGAAGCAGGAAGATGAACAATAGACATGCCAAGTATTGTCAATTGGTTTGAGATAAACAGTCGATATACCAAATCACTCATATACACAGAATTAAAAGACAGATATCCTCAAGCTACTGAGTATAATGTTGCATTCGGTGGTTGTTAGGGAGAATGTATCGCACATATTTTGAGTTTTTGACCCAATGGATTCAGAAGATCCAGTTAACACTTACTAACTTAGCGTGATGATCAAATGTCATACTTTCCCACCAAGTTGAACAATGCCGCGTGGAAAGTTGGTCCACCGATGTTCTATTATGCGAAAAAGTCTCGACAATGGTAAAATAAGAAGTAGCTTCTGTTTTTGTGGTCATAAATAGCTATATCCTATAGTTGTTATTTCAAGTGAATGATTATGAATGACAATGAAGTCTATTGTGCTGAATGTTTGTGATTAAAGGTTAAAATAAATCCTATTCCGCCCGATAATGAAATTCAGACAACTAAAGCTTAGTGTAAGTAGAAGGGAAATTAAATAAAGTATTGTTTGTGTTTGAATGCAGAATGGGATACACAAATAGTTAACTTAAAACAACAGGTCAATCTGTGCAAATGCATGGGGATAAAAATGCAGGAAACTGATAAAATCCAAGATTACAGGGTAGGGGTGAGACAATATGTACAAAACGATACAGAAGCTTACAATGCAAACAGCTGACGCAATATAGTGCCTAGAAATGTGTTGATTCTTAAGCCGACCAATGTAGTAGTAGCAGCAATGGCTGTAATTTTTTTGTAAACACAATTCAGGCTTTTTAAATCAAATGGCTTATATCATGCCTGATAACTTTAGGTAAGTTAAAAAGGACAAGGTAAACGACAAAAAGTGACTGACTAATATCAAGTTTATGTGTTGTTTGGACTAAGAAGACTGACATCGGGCCAACCACATATTTCACTGCTGCTTTATTTATCCATGCTTTGAGGTGTTCCCGAACACAGAAGATTACATTTCTAGAGCAGCAGCCAACATAACTGGTTCCATAGGAGCAGATGAATTGATAAACACAACGGAAAGTAACCAGCCTAGGCATTTGATGTTTCAGTCTCGCTAACATAGGTGGATCAATTCTCACAGTTTCAGAATTACTATTATTATGTCGCTACGGTCTTCTTTAACTTGCATTCACATGTAAAACGGTTTCTTGTTCACAGATGAAGAACATCTTTCCTATTCTGTAATTGTCTGCCTTCTGATATAACTACCTGCTCACCGAATTCAGTGAAGTAAACCAAATCACAAACTCATGTGAGTAGAAATCACACAATGAAACAGCCTTGGAGGGGGGGGGGGGTTGAGAAAAACAGATGGATCAATGAAGCTTATCTTGATCTATATAAACCTCAATATCGAGCAGAATAGAATTTATTTTAACCTTAAATCACAAACGTTCAGTGCTATAGACTTCACTGTCATTCATAACCATTCACCTGAAATAAAAGTTGTCGGATATAGCTATTTCTGACCATCTAGTATTGCATAAGACATATCATCATCCATGTGATTAATCATTTTGAATAGGATTCCGGTAACATCTGGTTTTGATATTACGTTTTATGTGTCTTCTATGAAGAAAATTTCCAGATTGTTTAATATTAACAGTCTACTGTTATGAAAAAGTCTAATCGTCTTAGACACATGTTTGTGCTTTGATCAAACAATATGGATAAATAACTAAAACTTTAGGAGAAAGCTCTTACTATACTACTGTGAAGTGTGGCAGCTTGATCCGATGCACTTGTGTGAGGTTCAACGTTGATATCTATCAGACAGTCAGTTTCATAAGATATATTTGTACTTGCGCTGCCTTTCACACACAGGGAAAACCACATGGTCAGTAATTCTTTCAAAGCTGATATCTCAACTCTCTGGGCTGGACAACCTCTTGTATTCGACTGGAACGCGATAGCCACCCACCTCTTGCGCAACGAGTATCAGTTGTTGTATTCATACTTGCAATTTCCCTTTCCCGTACAAGTATCAATACAACAACTGATACCCGTTGTACAAGAGGTGTTTATCGCGCTCCAGTGGCTTAGTGGATAACGCTCTAGCGTTGGAAGCGAAAGGTACTGGGCTTCAGCCTCAGTGGTAACATCACTCACTGGGGTGCAGGTACATCCGGCTGACGAGTCCCACGTAGAACGAAACGCGCATCCTGGATTCTTCTGTCTGTAATCAAGATCAATATGACACCTTTAAACTTCTTTTAACGAATCTTAGGGCTGCCAAACAGTGAATAGATTGGAAGCAAATAGAACAACAGTCGTTACATATGTGTCAGTCGGTGTTAAAAACTATGTTTCACTCTTAGAAGTTATATCTATCACCCCGAAACACGTGCCACCAAACTGTGAAATCACAAACATGGTGTTCTCATTCGGATGCAGAAAAAACATTCGTGAACAACGATGATCGAATACAGAGCTATCAGATATCTACAACACGAAAAGGTGAGGTTTGACAGACATAGATTTGAGGTGATTACACCAAAGTGTTGTATACCCGACCTTTTGCAGACAAACCAGCATCAAAAGGTGGCCGCTAATAGGATATACCTTTTAATAAATGGCTAGAAACTTCATCAGTCTCATATCTACCAGCACTCACACATCCCCACATAAACAAACTTTTTAAACACTTACAACGATTCACCAGAAAGATTGAGTGCAGGAGCATGCACCTACTAACCTGATAATAGCGTTTTGCACTTTGACGCTGCAAAGCATATGCCACAGTTACGGAAGCTGATTATTAGTTGAATATGTGAGATGTGAGTAGCCTTTATGTCGTAGCTTAGTAAACGGATATCGTTTACATAATTCTGTTCAAGAAGCCTTCTAGTAGCAGATCCACATCCCACAACGTACCTTCAGGGTAATCTCAAGAATATCATTCACGAAAAAATTGAGAAATATTACATTCCTGTCCAACCCCAATGTTGGTTTGAGGTAATAGAAAGAGGCGACTGTTTTTTTACTTCACCTGAGGTGTTTTTATACAAGGTTCTCAAGATGTTGACAAGGTTGCCAGGAAATTCCTCTCTAATAGGCAATCTCAGAGTACGTCTCTATCCAACGAGGTGAAGTTAGCCCTTATATTAAGAAATATAACAATTATCGGACTGCTATACGTCAGTGTCCAAGCACATTACGGAAGGTGAATAAGTGATTAGTGCGTCCATGACCTCAACGAAAGCTGACTTGCCCTTTATATGTTTTCCAAAGCCTCATAGTATTTTCCATGTAAGTGGTAGCAGACTGATGCCACTGTGACCATCATTTGTTAAATAGGCTCTTTACAGAGATAGGTACAACAGTTGCCCCATTCCAGCAAGTTAGAGCACTCAGTATGTCATGCTTTGCTGAACAATATAGTAAGTTCTCTGAATACTATTTCATCTACATCCTTAAAAATGGCGGTGGGTAGGTAATCAAGACCAAGCACTTGGTTTTTCAGTACCTGGAGTCACTTTAATGTTAATCAAACATAAAGCACAAGAGACTCAAGTTAGAGTTGCTGAGACAGCGAGTGAATTACACTGATTTTTAATTGCTACACCCAAAGTTCTAGGCATCTTTGAAGATTGGTGATCAATGAGCAATGATAGCTCTCAACTTGCCAGACGCAATAACTGCTTCCATTTTACTGTCATGTCTTGACTACCAAACCTCACTCATTACGAAGGTGTTTCGTGATCTTTCGAGTAAAACACTGACGTATACTATTTGTACTTGCCATCCAGCAGCAAGAAAACAAAAGGCTAAGATACAGATGAAGTGATCGAGAGTCGATTCTACGCCATATTACCTAGCGTCCCCAACTAACGGTTTCGGGTATCATGCAGACCCCAGTCTAAAGGTCTACATTTTGATGCACAATTCATCACAACAGTTCAAGACCTCCTAAATCTACATCATGCTTTGGCTTCATCACTTA